AAGAAAATTCTCAAATCCTGATTCGTTACGGAACGCACATGTGTAGACAAGTTCTTAAGAACTTTTAACTGTTTCGTTACTGAAACAAATTACAACACAAATTACACTTACAAAATGAAGCAAGTCAATGTACATATTATCCATTATTTAAATTATTTCTACTTCCAATGCCTATTTTGTCATTCCTACGTGTATCATCGATGAGTGTTATTTATTAATTAACGAACAAATCATCTGTTCTATGCTCGCTCATGTTCTATTAATGCCCGGATCCATTTCATTCTTAGGTTGTTTGTTTGTTGTTGTTTGCTTGTTTTTTGTTGTTATTGTTGGTTTTTGTTTTTATTTTCGTTTTCCATTTTTATGTACTGTTTAAAAAACGAGCAGGAGTGTATTATCCTAATAATACACGACTGAGAGGTTTTTCGAACGGTTTTAAAATCTCTGATATAGATCAACTCATTCTTGCACTAGTATTAAGATTTGAGGTTGTTTTGGTCTTAAAAAATCGGACGTAAAGTTTAGCTGTGTCTTTATCAAATATAAAGACACTCATCAAACATTAAATTCTCTCTTTTTTCTTTATGAAATTGTTAATGAGTTTTTGAAGTTCCATTTAGAGATGCCTACCTTCCTTCACCAGCCCTCAACATCCCTCCTTTGCCATCATCATCGTCGATAATGATTGTCTAGGTACCAGCCCTCACAATCATTTTGCGTGACCGTTGACGTCAACTTCAGCATCAGTATCATCATCACTCCTTTATTCATCTTTAACCGTTCTACATGAAGTGGAGTCCCAAGTTTTTCTTCAAAAACCGAGGGTTCAAAAATCGGGACTGTAAGTTGTAACAACCAGTTTTTATTCATTTATTTCAAGCCAATCTATGGGTTTAATTTTTTGTCAGGTTTAGTCCAACTTGTTTTATGGCAGATGATGGCCAGCCGACATGTGACGCATGCGCTCCTGGTTATGGCGGTAGAAGATGTAACAGGCAAGTTCCTATGCAGTCAATAGTTACCGTTTAATTGTCGTCATTTTCAATTAAAGATACCTTCGAGTCAACGATTTATTTTTATTTTTTGAACTGATCGTTCCACTTATTTCTCTCAGGTGTGTCAAGCCTTACTTCGGCGATCCTACTGAGCCGGGAGGGAAGTGCAAGCGTGGTAATTGTTTAATTATGGAGATCTAGAGTCACCTTCTGGTAAACGGCGCGGCAAACGTGAATTTGTACCACGTGTTTAAGTTTACTGCTGCACAAAAAATAGTAGTCTCACGCCAGTTCCATTCACAAGAATAATTTCGGGTTGTCTTTATCTGCTAATTTTCTGTTATGGGGAATTCTCAACTTCAATCCGACGTTTGCCGTTTGCCGTGACTGAAGTGACTCTTAAAGTGTTTCAATACAGTTTATCGGAGATCATATACCGATATTCTTCAATCGGCTTGAAAGTTATTTTATCCTTGTCTAATCACTATGAAATTTTCACTACTGACTGACTTTGGATTGAAGTTTCTTAAAATATGGTTTTAAGTAAAATCTATATCACGATGACAACAATAATCAAAAAACTTCGAAATCGATAGAAACCGAATTTTGCGCCATCAAGAACTTCTACTGAAAACCCGACACCATGAAGTTAAATGGACAATTGGAGTACATGTATATCGCAAAATAATGTCTTTTACTGTCTTTAAAAAGTAAAACTTGTTACAAACGTCCATACAGCTGCTTCCACTATCTATTTTTTTCATGTTTTGTTTCTTTGTAGAAGTTGATTGCAAATGCGATGCTCGTGGCAGTGTTAACAGCACATGTGATTCTGAGACGATGCAGTGTTTTTGTAAGGTACGCAGGTGCACTAGGTCTTTCCTTTATGTACGATGCTTTCCTATTCGCTAACCAGTTAAACCTGTTTGGTGGTACTATTTATTTTCTATTTAACAAAATGAAATGTAGAACTTCACTACAAGACATTCGCTAAAAAAGAACACAACATAATGTACAGAAGACCTTTAAAAACATCGCTTTTTACATTGTGCATTGCCTGTAATTTGTTCGACGTTTCAAAGAAAGAAAAATATTTTTTCTCTTCCATAAACTCAAATTACAACGCCAGTAAACACGATCTATTGGCTTAAACCTGTCTTTACACGATAGTTCACTGGTCCCGATTCTTTGATTAAACAGTCAAGAAATAAAATAACTGCCTTTTGTTATTTTATGAAGGGTTAAAATGACAGTTTTAGCACCAAGAATATTTCCCTAGATTTCCGCCTTGAACTAAAACGGGATTTTATGATACTCAGGAGCGATGAAACCTGTTAAGAAGTGAACACGGGTCTGTTTGTATTGAAAATTATCCTTAAGCATATTCCTCACGGCAAAAAATTAAAGGCATCTAATATAAATTTTCAGCGAATTTGTGTGGCCTACGATTGATGTCTCCCTTTCTGGTTAGCTCAATGTCGGAGACGAGAATAGTACTTATTAGCTTCAGGAACAATAGTTATTGAGTTTTTCTGTAGAAGTGTACACTTTAAATAGCGTTTTCTAATTAAGGAGTCGATCATTGCAGAAACAGCTTTTCCCTACCGAACGCTGCCGCCGGACTCTCTAACGACCCTTTTGCCAAATCCTCTCCTACTTATTTATCGGTAACTCAAGAACGAATACGGGAACTCCGAAATCCTAGTTTAATGATTGAGGGCTTTTCATTCTCTTAACTCGCCGTTTTCCCGTCAGAGACTGGATGTTTTCTTACCTGCCAGGTACAGTCTGCACCTCAGTATCGATCAGTACCCGTAATAATGTACAGACCTTAAAATTCGATTTATTACCGTATTTATTGAACATATCAAGGGAGTATCTGGCTACTGAAACTGTCTTATAAAAAACTGAAAATCGGAGACAGTGAGATCTAGAGATGGTGTTCATTTCTGCAGTTTTGTTAAGGGAGGGCGTGGCAAGTGCCTAACAGAGACGTCCGAGAAGATCTGTTTTATAAACCTTAGCACTAGGAGGAAGGCCTTAGTAGGCACTTTAACAGAAAAAGACTTTTTCTTTCTGATAAATACAATTCGATGTTGCATTATAACATTTTTTGGACGGGACTACTGTTATAAAAACGTATCTTTTATTATGTGCGTATAATTATATCTTGGTATTTATCCCCGGGTTCAACCATTCTCGGTTTTCGTGCGATATTACAATTCGCTCATTCGTTTTTGGCAGTGCATTACGAAAGTTGTTAGCTGACACTTGAACGCCGGTGAAAGGTTATTACAGACCTGACAGAGAGATAACACCAAGGGTACTCACTTTAAAATTCCTTATTCTAAGAAACACAACTCATCATACACACGCAAATCAATAATTTGTAAATGTTATTCAGATCTCATAAACTTCGCTGTTACCACTGCTGTTATATAAGGAAAACAGTGCGCTAACTTCAAGCTCTCCTCTCAAAACAAAGCAGAAACTTCGATAGAATGCACGCCCCAGAAAGCGGAATGTCCATTAAACTGATTACATTGGTAACCACCAAATATCCCTTATCTAGGTAACAACTGCTTCGTGATAAATTGACTTCCTATTTATTTTGTGATTTACCTTCTAATGGTTACTATTTCTACTTATCATATCTGCAAAACTGTACTCGATTTTGCATAGCGCAAATTCTGCAAATTGGGCTTGACTATTTTGTTTTGTATATACAAGAAGAATTGTTATTTGAAATAGGGCGCTTTTCAGTTTCTTTCTAAGATAGATAAACAAAGATTGTTTGTAACCTAAACAACGCTTCATTTTGATTTGAAAGTTCGTAAAAAATGTCAGTTTTTGAGGCAGAGAATTTCATTCTAAAACATGTTATCTGCGATAAGATCTGGTTCAGAGAACTTCCTCGGAAGATTCAACAGCTACGGTTATTTACCGCCAGTATACTGTTGCTTCACCTTGAAACTTTTTTACAGTGCACTTTGCCTGCGCTTGTTTTTCTTGCTTTCGGGACATTTTCGTTGAGTAAATAAGTGAAGAAAGCTTTGCTGAGAGTTGGCGTGTTCGGAGTTTATAAATACTTATGTTAAAACGACAAGGCTGTTAGGCTATTAATAACCTCTACTTCGTTCGTTGACATACAGATTTGCAAAGTTAGTTAACTTCGCAACAACATGTGTAACACGCTGTTTATAAAAATGAACACATTTCATGCGCTTTTCGCATTAGTTTCATAACCTTCAGTGGAGTTCCATCGTACTGACAGCTTATTTCAACTCCATTCTCGACTGAGGTCTGATTTTTTGGCGCCCTGCCGTGTAAAAGAGGTGCTAAGAAGTTGAAACGGTAACCGGATCACTAGTTATCTTTCGCGACTTTTATCATTGAGGGTCAAAACTCAGTCAAAACCGAGGAACACTGGATTGAGTTTCACTTAACACTCTTCTAAGTTGTAATGTTCTTCGATGACGGTGAGATTGGAGAAGATCGCAGTTGATCAAAAGATTCCTGTAGAAAGAGAAGTCCCATAGGAGTAAATTCTCCCAGAAGCGATACGGAGTTCGGCTGATTTTAATCTTGAATGCCATTTATGCGGAGGGCCTCCTTGAACAGTTCAAGTCAAAGCTACTCTTCGGTTCTGATCTACAATGAATACCCATTCCCTGCTTCTTGCAATCACTCTTCTACTTTTGACAATAGTACTCCTACTCGAGGTAAGTCAAATCATCTCAAAACGGATTCGATTTAACTACGCCTAAAGCAATTTCTCTGCAGATAGGCATTTTATAGATTCCAGTTTTGATTTGTTACTAGATAGACTGTTGTTTTAACTTCTATCTTGTGTAAGACTCCTCGTTTGCAAGATTTTCAAACCTTCGAGTGGCTTTTCTAGATCGCATTGCTCGTAATACCGAGTAAAACAGGAATTACACACAATAAGTGTTTGGCTTGAGACTTATCGAGTAAGTTTTCCTTCGCAAGTAAGGAGATTAGCTGCGATCAATGCCACCCAAAATCTGGCGTAATCCTTCAAACAGATGCAATTTAGTTCTCGATTGTTGATAGCAAGTTTCCAACAAATATGTCCATCACTTTTGCAGAGTTTATGTATATACACTTGCTGTGTTTTAAATGCCCCCTCTGTGTGATTCACTTTTGTTGTTATTTACGTCGCGAAAATATGCATTTTCCATCCTAAATGACCTTTCACCCTATTATGCAAAGATTGATCTCTCTGTAGTGTGTTTTCTTTGTAATTCAAGCGACCTCTTCCAAATTGGACTGTCTGACTCTGCTTTTATCATAATTTCTCTTGGTTTAAAGACACTTTTTGCGGACATTTTAAAGTCAATTTTGAAGGAAATTTAAAATGATACATGCTACCGCGAACAAAAACTGACGAGCAAAAACGTCGGAAAAAGCAGTTGGCTTTTTTTGAGTCTCGTTAACAAAGGAAATTGGAAATGCAAGGGTTATCGTAAACCTGACTCATCCTTTACAAACACACAACCTGTTCCAACTTAATTTGCGATACTGAGCAATTTGAGTGATACTTAAGTGTCATTGACGTAATTATCTATAGTACAGTTGCTTTGTGAATGTATTAGAAGAAAATAATTGTCGGCTTTGCGCTTAAAAACGTGAGCTTATCAAACCACCCGGCATGCCGGAAATCAAGGATATATTACTATTCTGTGATTGTTAGGAGAGTTAGATTTTATATCACAAACAGCTTTAATTTTGATTGAATCGCTTATTTCATGCCTTGTTCCTGAGATCGTACCACGATTTATTGTATAAGGGGTAGATTTAAGATTTCAACTCAAATAATCATAGTATTTTCTTTGACGACTTTTGCGTAATCAATTCAATATAATTGTTTTTATTAGGTTAATTCTTCACTTGTGGTAGTTGTAGCCAAAGTCAATTCATTTGAGTTGGCAAATCGGTTTAAATTACCCGAGACAGCTGTAGACGTTAAACTAGACTGACTGAAATTTTCACGAAAGAACTGAAAATTCGTTTAATTCGAATTTTTTACGTTTTTTTTGCTGTTTCTGCAACGTGAACAATATCTGTGATGTGTAAAATCGTCAAAAAAAAAATCTTTTTCAGTGAAGAAGGAAACAAAGAAAATACTAATGGCGTCGATCCGTTCCAACTGTGATCCTTGAGCTTTGATAGTGTTTACAGCTAAATTGGCTACCTCAAGCTCAAGATAACGGAAAAAGCTAAGAGACTTGTTGCGAATAATTTCCTTTAACCCTCTATTTATAATTACTGCTACTTTTTTGTACCAAATTTTCACTATGGCTGACTATCTTATCAAACGGTGAAATGTAAAACTTGACTCGTTAAAAATCTTTTCAAAACCCAGTATACAATGTACTTTTTTTTTCTTCACAGACATTTGGTAAAAACAGCAGTTCGTCTGTTAAAAAAGGGTCTCAGCTGCTACTATTCAAGCGCAAAACCTCCCGTCTTGAGTTAAATTGTCAAAAGTTGATGAGACACTGATCAAGACTCTTTTATATCAGTTGTATTTCCCATAGCATTGTTCGGGTATTGATAAAATTTATAAATTATTCTAATTTGATTCTGGATTCTTCTGAGAGCAAACAATTTAAGAGTGAAATAATGCATAACCATTTTTTATATGTTGGTTTGAGGTCTTTAGTAATAAAGCTTTCTTTCTCCCATTTCTCTATAGAAACACGTGGAAGGCCAGCAATGCGACAAGTGTAAAGGATCATTCTTCAACTTGCAGTCAGATGAGCCTGAGGGCTGTATACCATGCTTTTGTTTTCAGCTGTCGAAAGATTGTAAATGCGCCGATTTTTACAAAGACATAGTAAGTCATAATACTTGTGAAAAAAAAAAATTAAAACGACTTCAAATCTCAAAACAAAATGCAGTCAATTGTAGCCTTGCGGACCCCTCGCTATTACGGTCCCTTCAACCATCAGGGAGAGGAGCCAAATCCCCGACAAGAATCAATTGCAGACGTTTGACTGAAAGAAAGTTCTGCTACTATGGACTCTTGTTATTACGAGAACTTACTCACGGTCCCTGGAGTGTCCACAACGGGCGGAAGTAGTGTACATGCGCAGTGTCTATCGTCTGTATTTTTGTATTGAGCGGTCTGCTTTGATCTATTTTTCTTCTATTTTTGGTTCGTTTGTTTTCATGTTTTTGTTTTCACATTCTCGCAAACACAATGCAAAACTTAAAGATGGTACATACCGGCAGTGGTAACGCAATTCGCTATTTACACCTCTCCATAATACACCTTGTTTGACCCCCCTCCCCCATCCCCCCTCCATTTATACAAAAAAATATGCAGGAGTAGTGTATTCATTTTTTTTTGAAACGACTGAAATACTCAGAAGAGAAGAAAAACAAAGCTATGCATTGTTTGGGAGGGGGGGGGAGGGGGGGAAGGAGGGCAAACAAGGTGTATAGTGGGAAATGTGCACATAAGTCAATTACACGATGACGAACATTGACTTAAACTGCCAGAATCCTTATCAGTTAAAGTTTCGCTATATCAGTGTTCCAAAACAGTGAAACGGTGGCCATGTTGGTATTCCAAACCAGACTTGTGGAGGTTGAACCCCTTTCTTACATAAAAACTTTACTTTTTGTTTGAATTGGCAATTAAGCCGCTGGCCACATAAGTGACAACGCTCTATGACTATAAGAAAGCAAAAACGAAATGAATCTGGAAGATGCAGTCAAATGTGGCCTTGAAAATGAACTATTGGTTTTCCTAACACCCATCTACTGCATAGCGGTTTATCTTGTGGATACCTCTATGATCCTCCATCCAACTTTTGAAAACTGGGGCCAGATGGATAGTCAAAGTGAAACTGCACGTCTCATCCCATTTTCTTTAAAAATGCTTAGTACCTTGTCAGTATGAGGCTATAACCTGATCGAGTTTTCATAGCACCCACTTTCCTTTTTTATATTTTAGATCCCTATGCTCATCGCCATGATTAAAGGCCCCGACTACCTACGTCTCACAGACTTGTCACGTGATCCAATAATTAGTTCAGACATCGTGGTTCAGGGTGATCCGGCACATTATGTCTATGACAAGTTTGATAAGCTGTCTAAAGTCACGTATTATTGGTTCCTGGGCAAGGAGTTTAGAGGAGACATGGTAAGTCTTTATTCCAGCCTTGAACATTTAAGAGTGACCAACATGCAGTTTCTCCTTATAAGGACGAAGCTCAGTCAAGCAACCAGGTTAGGAGAACAAATCAAATCTAAGTGCGAGAGAGAGGGAAAAACGGAAGAAGAGAGGGCTGTAGCCTCCAGCCTTCCTCTACCTATCGCCTTTTCTTGATGGTTCCAGGAAGCCTTTTTGCTGGCCAGTGTGACCAATTTACCATTTCCCATCCCCTCCCTGCCTCCCCAAACGGTTTTGGGTATTTCTTTCTTTTAAGCAGGCATGGTGTCGCGAAAAATGGAAGTAAAAACAAATAATGCCATTTATCTGATACACCTACTACCTCGTTCATGGACCTTCTTTTTTTCCCACAGATAACGAGCTATGATGGTATCTTGCGTTACACAGTTTCACATGAAATGGATCCGGGAGGCAAACTGACCTCGGAAACAGATGTTCAGTTAAGGGTAGGTTGTGTTTTTTACAATAACTAAGCGAATCCTCACGCGCTGATTGGTCGAGAGTTATGGTCTATGAGAGTATAGACCGTGATTTTTAATGACATAACATTTTCCGAGAAACTTCGCAGGAAACGAAAAATAAATGTTATTGTAAAAAATAAATCGACCACAATTTTCCATCTTCTACACTCTTATAGACCATAGAAATTACGCCATAAAATGTTCAAAACTTTGCAGTGAAACCTGAGTTTTGAACATTTTATGACGTCATTTCCATGGTCTATGAGAGTGTAAACCATTGTGAAATTGTGGTCGACTTGTTAAATACACTCCGTACCTCGAAATATACAAGAATTTTTTTGGCAACATTATTTCTTTAAGCACCCGCTTACTGGCTTTTCGGCTTTTGACAGCACATAGAGAACTGAATAGAAACACTTTCAGTTATGTAGCCTGCGAACAGCAGACGCATTTCCGGTCGTCGCTTCTCTCCCTCCGAAACGACGACCGGAAATGCCACCATTTCGCATGGTATTTGATACTCTAGAGTAAGCCATCGAAAGCCTACGTTAAAGTGCGGACGCGAAGCTAAACCCAGAAATCTTCACCTAAAACGAATTTAATTTAACTGTAGGCCAAAGGAAGGCTAACCTGGACTGCATGGTAACTCTTTGACATTTTCCACCTTTTTTTAGTTGTCCTTCCATAACACCCTCGCGTTGCCTTTTGGTTACGTGTTTGTTTGTTTGTTTTTCATATCTTATAGGGGAGAGGAATTGTTCTGAACTTTAGCCATAGGAGACGTCTTGAAGGAGGAAAGAAAATTGTTTATGGCCTAAAATTCAACGAGGTAGTTTACATGTGACGTACTTGTGTCAACACAATATCGTCCGCATGAGTTGAGTGGGAAATCACGCGTCTGCGGCATAATCATTCGAAAAGAGACGTGAGAGTTTTTTCTTCCCCTTTCCACTTGTCTCCACTCGCAGCTCGTATTGCTTGCCAATCGAATTGGAGGCCAGGGTTAGAGTTGATTTCCACTGTCGCGTAATTTTTGCCCGCGTAAATGAAAAAGAGGCAATGTATGAAAAGGCCACGCGTAAACGTAAAACTTTTACGTATACACGTGACCTTCCATACATTGTCTCTATTTTATATACGCGCGTACAATTTATGTGCGTTCGCACCTAAAAATTACGCGACAATGGAAATCCACCCTTACTCTAAGCCGGACGTCTGTCTGCTGGAATAGAGTAACGTGGCCTCTGGGACGACTCTGTGTGCTTTTCTCCGTTTTCCGATAGGCGTAACTTGGATGGCGAGCGTTTTCGCGCTTTTTAGCCGAAAGAAGGCTTAAAACGGTTCATTTTTTGTGAACGTTGGAACGTGCGTAGGTTTTCTCTAACACCGACTGTTATTACACCAGGACTACCTGAGGTTCCCAAATCGTAGCCGTGTAACAAGAGAGGACGTAATGACGGCACTTTCTGCTGTGGAGAGCATCTTAGTTCGAGCAACTTATAGCACCACCACGACACAAGCCAGGTTAGATTAAAACTAACTTATTGGACGTTCTTATACCGTTTGTGTAAAGGCTGTAATTAGCTTTGTTATTTATTTATTCATTTTTATTATTATATGCTGCATATTAATGTTATTATTTTGTGGTAAAAGAAAACACCGTTGCTTTACGGAATCGAATTTGTATAGTTGCATACAAGGACGGCTGGCATCCAACACCGTGCCACAAGCAAGGGAGATGAAAAATTCTAGAGCCCCGGCAAGATTCGAACCCATGGCCACTCAAAACCCTCTATTCAGTGAGAAACGGAGAAACTCTAAGTGCTAAGTTCATATTTTGGTCTCAAGAATCTCCAAATTTGTAACATTCATTTACCGAGCTTTGAATTTGCTATCTTTATTATTTCATAAGACTGCGTACTTCGAATAAAATCCCCTGTTATCTTTCCATAACACGCCAAGCTACTAGGATGCACCAGGAAATAGGGAGCTGCTTGGACTCAGCTTTGCATGACAAACTGCGCATGCCTCGCCAATATCTAAAGCTTTTCGTTCCCCTTCCCTGATATATTCTGTAGTCTATATGACGTTAAGCTGGAAACCGCAGTGAAGCAAGAAACAAGATACGGAAAAGCCAAAAACATCGAGGAGTGCGCATGCCCTCCGGAATACACTGGTACATCTTGTCAGGTGTGTCTATCATAATGTAAAAAAAGGTCAATTACACATCGGCTTTCATTCGTTCGCCACACTTATGTATCACCTATCTCTCATTTCATGCCATATTAACTTCTTTGGTGGAAAGCCCTTTTTTGGTTTGGTCAGTGTTAATAAAGTGCAATGCAATGGATAAGAAGGCCTTTAGCCTACTTTGGCATTTTTATCTATTTATGGATTAATTCATTGTTATTTATTTATTGTTACTATTATTAATATCATTATTTTTCTGGTTAACTATATTTGTCTTCATCTTGCACAACTTTCAGCGACATTTCTATCATTATCAAGTGACTGAACCAAAAGAGAAAAGGGACATCTTAAATTTATGGAGTCACAATTTGTGAACAAAAAGAAAGGATTATTCACGGTCAGACAGTTCCCAACATAAATGGAAGCACAGTTGTTTTGATTTTGGTGTTTGCCAACTTTTATAAACAATCTCCTCTACCAACTATCGATAGTGTTTGTTTACCAGTTTCAGACTGCATGTTGTAAATCTGATGGACATTTTCTTTTAAGTGTCTGATTCACAAGGGTGTGAGCAAAAAGGGGAAGAAATATATTCCTTGAGAACTTAGCTATCACCTGGTAGAACGGGTGGAAGGTTTGAAACTCTTCTGTCTGAATACAAGATATTTTTGAAACACTTTTTCCATAGTTGTGTACTCTCTAGCCTAACGTCCACAATGACAAAAACCTGTAAAGAAAAAGTCAAATTGAGTCTACCACGACAGTGTATTGATCTAATCACCAGTGTGTTCATTCTGCAGCAATGTGCGCGAGGATATACGCGCTTGTACCCGGGTCCAGAGTTCTCTCCTTGCGTACCGTGTTCCTGTAATGGACATTCAAAGGAATGTCACCCTGAAAATGGCCAGTGCTTGGTGAGTATTTATATTTGCTCTCTTTGTTAACAATCTGCAAATCGCATTAAAAAAGTTTAGAGCGTCTGCGACGCAGGCAAAAAAAGAAATAATGTTGAAACCTCACAAAAACGTGTAAACTCATCCTAATCGACGTGGAGAAAAATCCAATATTATTGTTTTGCTGATCTTTTTAAATGAATGTTCAAAGGTATTGTATTTCTCACAAGCCATTTTGAAACAATAAAAAATGGGTCTAACTCTATGACGCCCCTACTCAGTAAAATAATCCAGTTTCGAGTTGGTTATCGCCTGTTGAATGAAATAAGTGAAGGAGCATTTATTTTTTACAGGCGTAGCCTCCATCTGAAGTAAACATAAATTATAGGACGTTGTATGAGAAATATTCTTTGCTCACTAAATTAATAAAATGTGCATTGAATATCGCCCTGAAGCTCACCTGTAGCCTTTCCTTGTTTTTCTTTGTGTTCTGAATACATTTCAGACCTCCTAGGCACTGTT